GGTCTGCTTCACGTGGATGAGGTCGCTGACCGCGCCCTGCATGTCCAGCGTGCGAGGCATCCGTTACATGGAAACCAAGAGCTTCAGCACCCATAGCGAAAGCTCACTCTTGATGGCAGCCTGAATCAAGTGATGCTGTTTGACGGACTCAAACGCTTTCTTGAGATCGAGCAAACTGGTCGCGGTAGACCTGCCTCTGACCGTGGAATACTCAGACCAAACACTGGATATCCAAACACATTTCTCAGAGGAGCGCCCTTTGACTGACCGCCAGAAGCTCTGGAAATTCTTTTTCTGCCAGACGTGCACCAAGGGCCTTAGGAGCCTGCGTTGAATCCTACAGAGCACATGAAGGAGCCCAAGAGGCCGAACCCCGCCGAGACGCTTCAAGCCAAAGACAACCTTAATCCAAGCTCGAGGCCATTCAAGGTTGCACTCAATAGACCCAATAATATCACATACTATTTGCAGAGCTTCATCTGGTAACAGCAAAAAGTGTCTAGGAGCCACTTTATCGAACTCAGTGCCCGTAGAGGCCTTGGAAGATGATGTCCTCCCAGAGACATGCCAGATGAAGGATGTTCCACAGTTGGAGGAGGAGATGTTCTCCCAGAGACAACGGCCAGACGAGTTCGGGATGAGCAGCAGACACCTGCCACCAGCCTTCCCATTCGCGTTGCAATGCCTGCATCTTCTCGAGAAGTCGCAGGCCTGTGAGTGCTGTGCTCCATGCAAGAGGGTTGCCAGGCAGTTGGTAGTGCAGAGTACGAGTACAAAGCAGAAGCACCATTGTCATAATGCTTGTCAAGCCAGCGCTTCCATTCAATCTCTTTTTGCTTGACAGCCCTCTTCGCTTCGGCATCAGCCGCGGCGCGAGCCCAGTGTAGAAGGAACTTCGCAACTGGAGCAGGAAAAAGACGTGCTTTAGCGAGACAGCTCGACCAAGCCCAACGCATATCCGTATCAGGAAGAAAGTGCGTGCGAGCAAGAGAATCCAGACGAATAGCTGCTTCGCTCCAAACTTTAAACGAACGAGGCTCCAGGGGGTCCCCAAGAGCAGCTGAAACCTTTTCCCACCAAGCTCCCAGTTGAGAGACTCGTGGGGACCTTGGAGGCCCAGGTCGACGAAGGGTCTTGTTGGTGATTCTGAGGTCCTCTGAGCGCCCGGTATACTTCTGGAAGTCCTCTGGGGCAGCCTGAAAAATCTTTAGCCGCTCGTCTTCACATGCTTGAATAGAGATCTTCCAGTCAGCATCGACGGTGTCACACTCGTCGACCTGCATACTGAGAGAACTCCACCGATCTACATCAGGCGGAAGAGCACAGCCAAGGGGCACAGTAGCAGGAACCCGTCGAGGAACCTGTGCCACTTGGACGGTGGCATCTGCTGGCGGTGCCTTGAGTCGTAGCTCCACTGGGTAATGCGGTGCTGTGGCGATGTCTGTGCGAACTGCCACATCGCCCTCTCGAGCAAGCGAAAAACCCACCGCAACATAATCTATGGTATTGTTCGCTGGTCGACAAGTGCCACGATCTGGACAAAAAACCCGAGCGTCAATAGCGGCAGGCCACCCACTGGATATTTATTGAGCAAGTTCAATCTGCCAATCTGCAGCGACGATAAAAGGGAGCCCCACGTGCTTCGAGAAACTTCCAACCTTGGAGAGGATACCCCAACGCAGAGCCCCAAGTCCTGAAGAGTGCTCCAAATAGATGCTGGCAAAAACGAAACCCCCACGAACGCATCCTCCAACATGGTGAGCCGTGGCCCTTCCAGGCCAAAGAACCGCGTCGAAGCCCTGGGCGCCCGAGAGGCCAATGTGTTTGGGAACCAGCGCAGCTAGCCCACCTGAGAGTCCCCCAGTACTTTTTGGAGCCCCAGGTGAGAGACAGGCAGAGTAACCAGACCTACGAAGTTGATCTTCATGTGAATCACACTGTGAGCGGGCGAGGTGTGTCTCTTGCACTCCAATGCAATCGAGCGCTGCTCGCACTCCTGCACCCGCTCAAAACTTGACCATGTAGTAATGGTAGCAGTGAGAAAGACCCACTCCTTTGTCTTCTTCTTCGACTTCGGAATGCTAAGTGTCAGACTTCTGCTTCTTATCGTATGTAGACCAACTGAACTGCTCAGTTCTGGACCTCTTGATGGAGTCGGCGACAGAGCCAACCAATGCGCGGCGCTGCCCAAGAGACAGGCCCAGGTGCTGATTCTGATTCATGAGCTGCTGCAAGTTCTCGTCGGAGGCGTGCTGCTTGACCAGTAGTTCCGCTGTCTGGTGCGCCATCGTCGGCTTCAGCGAAGTAGTCATCTTGCTCGTCCTCGTCCATGTCGGAGTTGGAGGGTACTGGCTCAACCGCTTTGCCAACTGCAGGCGCCACTGGCGGTGGACGGATGGCTGCGCCAGCCCGGCCACAGAGAGACGGAGCCGAGCCCTTCGCATCCTTAGCCGCCTCAGACCCATCAGCAATAGCAGGCGGCCGATCCTGATGACGAGCA